AGAATATTTCAGGTTGGAAAGCACCTTAAGATTATCTAGTTCCAACCCACCTGCCATGAGCAGGGACACCGCACACTAGACCATGTTGCCTAAGGCTCTCTCCAACCTAGCCTTAAACACTTCCAGGGATGGCACATACACCACTTCTTCATGGTTTTTGCTGCAGGACTAACATATTGGAAAAGCTTTTTTTTTTTTTTTAAGGACACTCTTGAAAAGAGAGTAGCAACAACTGTAATTCACACTCAGATAAAGCATTCACTCTACCTTAAACGAAATCTGATACATTTCATACACTTATCTGAAAAAAAAACCTCAATATAAATTGTAAACTTCTGTTATAAATCTATTTTAACACAATCAATCCATTGTTCTTTACAATGAGCACTGTTTCTAACATAAATGTGATTCTAGGTCAAAGCAAAGGCTAGTGATTCATCAAGCTTAGCATCTTGTCTCCAAAAGAGAACCCAAAGTAAAAAGAGAACAATATGGCACATAGTGGGATTTCTCCCTAGTGATCTCCTAACCTTCACAAATACACAACATTGGGACTTCCTCAGTCAGAGATAATGTCTTTGTATTCAATAGGTATTGGTGGATTTTCCTTTCATGAACTTGTCCACTCTTCTCCTGAAGGCATGTAAAATTTGATGGAATTTGTGGAGCTTCTTCCAAAAGATATTACAGATGCTAAAACAAGATGAAGACCCAAATCTTCTTGCTTGCGTTGAGTGAAGCTTCAGTTAGCTTCAACTGGTGCTCTCCAGCTTTTTCATTGGAAGAGAGAGTAAATAAGAAATCCTAATTCACCATCTTCATTCAACTTGGAGGTTTTTAGTCCTCAATTACCTTTCTATAGAATTTTTTTTTTTTCTCTAGGCTGAAGAACTCTGGTTTGCCTAATTGTTCTTCTTATTTATAGCCACTTCACATTTTGGTTACTCTTTTTACCTTTCTTTTCTTCCAGTTTGACTGTAGCTTTTTTAAGAGGAAGGGATAACAATGGTTGAGTACCAAACTCATGTCTTCTAAAATCTCTTTTAAACTCAAGACCTTGTTCCTGAAAGAAGACGGACAGCTCAAAATCCAACATATTATGTGCAAAGTTGTGGGTGTTTTTGTATGCATCGTGAGACATTTTAGATAAAATTGTATTTAGACACATTTGCCACCTCAACTTCCAATCACTGTCTCTGTCATCTTGTAAAGATAATCAGAGATGGTCTGTGAGTGCTAGGCAGTGTTTATTTTACCCTGCAGTGCTAGTCACCTTTAAAGAAGAAAATTTTGCACGTGGTACCATATGGTCTCCAAAAATTAATAATTAAAACCCAGCTATTCTTGCACAATTTCCAGAACAGTAGCCTCTGACTTTGCTGATAAGTCAATTAATTTAAAGTAGTTCTGAACAAGCTTACATTCCACCCTGTCACTGTTTCTGTTTGACTTCACTCCAATGCCAAAGCTTTTGCTGTATTGCCTAAAATGCTGTCACTTATCTACACCTATGCCCCTATCTTCCTCCCTGTCCTCTGTCTTCTTTCACGTAGGGCTGCAAAAATTTCAATAAGCACTTTTATTCCCTTAATTTCAGTTCACATTCATGGATTTGATTTTGCCTATATCATTTCTTTCACATACACTTTATCTTCGTATTCTCTTTTATAATACTGTCTTCCACATGTCTCATTTGCCAGTTTGTTATCTGCATTTTACATAATTCACAAACTTTGATTTAACCAGCTACGTTTTGATTCTTATATTTGTTGTGCAAACCTCACAGAATAAGCCATTTAAGCATTTAACAAAGACTCTTCCCTTACACTGCTTTTACTGTTTTTATTATGTTAATACAGTTAGACAGGCCTTATCAGATTCATCTCTCACCTGATGCAGGGGGAGACATGTCAACTTACTCCAAATACGAATTAGAATTACTCAGATCAATATATATAAGCCAGGCTTGCAGTATCTGGGTGTCAATCCAACAAATTCTAGGGTTTAATAATCAAATCCTCTGAGAGTCTGTAGTTCCATTTGAAGTGCAATTAAATTCAAAAGATAGGAATCATCTAAGCAAATGCAAATGTCTAAAATGTAGCTATATGAACTAGTTGTCTAGACCCTCTTTATAGTCACAACAGAAAGATAAGCACTTTTGTGGTATGATTCATCTGACCTTTTAGAAATGTATGAGATCAGCTGAACCCTGCAGGCACTTGTTTCTGTGCTAAGTACAAAAGACTGAAAGACTTTTCAGACTAGGCTATCTCAGATGCCCCTTAAGCACCTATAAGTGGAATCCAGAATGAATAGCCTTAAAGATGTCTGCAATAAAAAGGCCTCAAGTTAGCAGGATGAATACCAAGCAAAACATTTCAGCCTAACTGCCACAGACATACACAGACAGACACCCTTTCTGAACACTTGTTTGAAAGGCATTTTAATAGCAACCAAACTTTTATTACAGTCTGAATTGGGGGTGCTAGTCCTTCCCAGATTAGGAATCTTTCTTTATTAGCAGAGATAACTTCTTTTTAGCTAGGTTAAAGAAAATAAGAAGGAAAAACTGTCATTATATATTTTGAATGTCAATAATCCAAAATTAAAATCCAAAATTAAAAAGGTAACTTTGGTGTACACTCTTAAACTGTCTAATTAAATTACTTTCTTCCTTTCAATTGATGGGATTCCATTGATCTTTGCCAACATTAATACTATACAATGTAGTATAAATAATGATACAAGTTTCAGAAAAACTTAATCTGGTTTCCAAAATGAAAAGGTGTAACAGAGCCAGGATATTGCTACTACATTCATGATTCTAAGACTAATCAAGAATGGTCGTTTTTATCAGTATAGAATCTGACTGTCAAAAGAGCATAAGTTTCCACTAAGCCCCAAATTCTAGAAAATCTCACAACCTTAAAAGATATCTAAAACACTTGGTCATAATCTGTGTTGTGATCTAAGGGACAGGAACTAAACTAAGTGACATTTGCCACATTCTCAACCTGGCAAGCACAGTGACAAGAGATGTTTCTGTACATCTTCAGCAATGCAAGCTCAAGCTCCAACCTAATATATTTTCATCCTAGTACACACAGAATCTTGGGGTATGTCCAGAGAGCTATCCAACAGCTGAATGTCACGATACCTCCTGTGGAACATCTCAACCTGACTGGAGAGTTTTCAGGGCTTTTTAATATAGCAATACTTTTTTAAAGCTGAAAAAAGTACCCGGGGAATCAGGCAATGAACAAATGATTCAACATCTAAAGCTGCTTTCTCCTTCCTCTACTCGCTGAACTCTACAGACGGCTGCACGCTATAGGCGTTTGTTTCTTTTAACACAGTTCACGAGCAGAGCAACGTGATACGTTGCCACCTGCTGTAGAGTTGATGTAAAAACCCTTGCTGACTCCTGTATGAGCAAAGGCTGCGTCACAGCAGAGGCACATCTCTGCGTGACCCATCCCGGCAATGCCGTCAGCTACATTCCTTGCTGACTCACGTCTTGCAAAGAAATCCGCTCTGGTGAAAAAAACTGTCATGATGCGGAGCAGGCAAGAAGTGGGACTGCAGAACTTGCCTCAGAACGGGGAGAGAGCGCAAAGGAGCTGGAAGCATTCAAGCAGGAATGCAAATATACATGTTTACAGTTGTCAACAATCAACGTGTTGATCCTGCCATAAGATGCTGGAGAGATGCTGAAATTTTATGACTGTTACACAATCACTCATGTAAGTGGGCTGCTTTTAGAGGGAGGATGAAAGTCTGCCTCACATTAATAATTTCAAGCTTTTCTTGCACATAATTTAACAAACAGATCTATGTTTTATAGTGGAAACCGTGTTCAAATTACCTGCCCAGTACTCCTTTGTGCAAAGGGCCTCTTAAAAGTGGTAAAGCAAGTACAGTGCAGATTTTTTTAAAGACAGCAATAAGCTCACAATTGCCAATTATAGTGTTTTCCTTAGTATCAGATTGTGAATATAGTTAAGCTTGGAAAACCTTTGCCTTATTTCCAAAAAAAATGGTTTTACTTGCTGCCAGTTGCTTTCTATATACTCCTTTATAAAATCATACGAGAAATATGGTTTTCCCTTTCTTTAAAATACACTATTCTATATGCTGCTGTGAGGAACTATTACAAAACCAATATTCATTCTTCAGATGTGATTTTCAGTAGCAGATTTATGGGCATCCGTAATGCCAGTCTTGAAAGAAGTCGATGCGCATTTTATAGTCATTCAATACCCTATAGCACAGTGGTGTCCTACTGCCCCTGCAGCAGAATACATCATCACAAATATGTTGTACATGTGCACCCTGACACTGAAAGGTCTCTGGGGACACTGATCTTTTGATTTCCTGTGAGAAGAGGATCACCGTTTCTCTACAGTTTAAAAGGAGAAGTTAGCATTTCTACAAAAATATTCCAGGTGCTTTTTGGCAAAATTGTTGACAGATGTTTTTGGACAGTTCAAGAATGTTTTTTATAGCAGGAATATAGTCATGACTCCATGGCTTACAATGCTGGTTTGGCTTATGCAGAGTATCCATGGCATTGTGAAACATTATCAAACTGAGGTTTGGGATTTTTTGGGGGGTTGGGTTTGTTTGTTGGTTGGTTGGGGTTTTTTTTTTGTGGTTTCTGTTGTTTTTTTTTTTTATTAGATATATTTTTTCCCAATTCATAAGTTTGTAACAGAAATTATTCTGGTAATTATTAAATTATTATGATTATTTAAAATATATAAACAATGTATTGCTTTTAAGTGTTCTACATAGAAGAACGGGAGAATATATCATTATTCAGTGCACTGTAAAGAAGCACTTCTTTCCATGCAACTGAAAATCTTTATCTAAAATGCCAGTAAGTCATTATGGTAGAAAAACCTTTCTTGCAATTAATGCAAAATCTATTCATAACTTTAGTCATGATAGGTTGTTACTCATGGGGAAAAGACTGGCAATTACATGGAAAAGCTTACTTGAGTGAAAAAATCCAGATGCCCTAGGAGAACCTTTTAAGTATATATGAATACATTCAGTAGGCATGTAGCATGTACAGGCTCATCAACACTGTCTTGTAAGTGTCTGTCAAGCTATCAGCTGATGTGTCTGTGGAAAAAAATGGGAGAATGTCTTTTCAGACATAGCAGATACTAGACTCCAGACTATTTTCAATCTCTCAATACTGATTCTAATTCACATGTTTTCTCTGGAAAGGATATATATTTGATACACACACTAACCATTATATAACAAATGACATAGTCAGAAAACCAATTCTACAATGGCGGAGAGGGATATTAGAAAATAGAGCCCTTTTGCACTGAGGTGTTCAATATCCATAGGATATTATTGTTACTACTATCATCATCACAAGAAAAGAATGCTGGAAGGTTCCAAAATACATCAAACTTCACTGCCACAGCGCCCATGTCAATTAACGTTAGCCTTTTTTTTTTTTTTTTGTCTAAAATTAGGATTTCAATTGTATACAAAATACTGGTGTTTTGAAAAATGTTTCAGTTGGAACAAAAAATTTTAATGTGAGTCTTGAAATGGGTGATCTGATAATCAGCTATGTCTAATATTTCAGTTCACATGATGGGCAGAGAATGGTCCTGGATCATGCAATTACAAAGGCCCCACTGCACAAGGCAGTAGCCATAACATGACAGCCCTTTGAATGTGAAGCCCCAAAAGACACAGATTGGTGCCTTGTACCCTCACCTCGGATGCTCAGTGCTTCTGTCAGAGACATGTCGAGCGGAAGAGAAATGGTGATACTCTACCGTACAAGGCACAGATCCACCTAGAGGCCACAGCTGCATCTAACACTGCACGTGAGGAGACAGACCTTGTCACACAGTAAACAGCCAAATACTTAACCTGGCAGAGTCAAACTGTAATCAGTCCAGTATCCACACATAACTTACTACAAAGCATCTGCTTTTCCATCACAGTAATCACAACAGATACTGAGAAAAAACGGAAAACACAACATTGAAAAGGTCTTTCAACAAGCTACAGAACTACAGATAACACTAAAAATTCATTAATGTTTCATGTAAGCTAGACTATGTTTACTTTGTATTTTGAGTCCTTCAAAAACCGTTTCAAAGAACAAAGATGACCTTTTGTAATTAAATGTGCTAACGCTGTTATATCCGTTCAACCTCCTTCCTCCTGCTTCCCTTTTCCATATTTCCTTCAAAAAAAACCATGACAGTACCAGCCTTTGCCTGGCTCCAATCACTGCTGTGGCATTTGCTTGGCTAGAGCAGCATATGAACATATGTGATCATAAAAGCATGGGAAAATCTCCTTCCCCCTGTGAAAATAATTGTATGTTCTACTGTTCTATAGAATCCAACATTAAGGATTACTGGTATTTTTGAGATACAATTCAAAATCAGAAAGTTTCCACAGAAGTTTTTATCAGATAACTCCATAATACCCACAGTGTGGGAGTAGGGTAATTACTGTCATTTCATTGCTCTGTATCTACAATTACCTCTTTGTACTAGTAATCAGCCTTATACCATTTGATCTCCTTTGCTTTTTAGGCGCTTAATTACAAAGTACCAGTAGATGTTTGCATCACAGACTGGTTTGAGTACTCATTGCAATCTTCTTCAATTTTCAAATGTCTGCATTTCCCCAAAGAGATAAGAATGAAAACACATATTTAAAGGCTCATGTACCGAAGGCAGTCATGTATTTAAAAAACTATTTTATGCAGAAAGATTTCCCAGATTTTTTACACCAGCAGTGTGCAATACAAATTAGCATTAACAGATGATCATAAAATCATAGAACAGTTGGTGCTGGAAGGGACCTCCAAAGGTCATCTAGTCCAACTCCCTGCAATGAGCAGGGACATCTTGAACTAGATCAGGTTGCCCAGAACTACATCCACCTGGCCTTGAATGCCTCCATGGATGGTGCAGCCACCACCTCTCTGGGCAACCTGTGCCAGTATTTTACCACCCTCGCTGTAAAGAATTTCTTCCTCACATCCAGCCTGAATCTCCCCTCTTTTAGTTTAAAACCTTCACCCCTCAGTCGTATCACAAGTCCTGCTAAAAAGTCTCTCCCCATCTTTCTCATAGGCCCCTTTTAAGAACTGAAAAGCCACAGTAGGATCTACCCATATCTTAGCTTCTTCTTGCTGAACAACCCCAACTCTCTCAGCCTTTCCTCACAGGAGAGGTGCTCCAGCCCTCTGATCATTTTTGTGGCCCTCCTCTGGACCCTCTCCATCAGGTCCATGCCTGTCCTGTGCTGAGGACTCCAGAGCTGGCTGCAGTATCCAGGTGGGGTCTCACCAGAGCAGAGAGTCAGAATCACCTCCCTCCCTGCTGGCCATGCTCCTTTGGATGCAGCCCAAGATAGGATGGGTCTTGTGGGCTGCAAGTGCACACTGCTGGCTTGTGTTCATCCACTAGTACGCCCAAGTGCTTTTCCTGTGAGGTACTCTCAATCCCTTCATCCCCCCAGCCTGTATTGATATCAAGCATTGCCCCAGCTCAGGTGCAGGACTCTGCACTTGCCCCGTTGAACCTCACGAGGTTTGCGTGGGGCCATCTCTCAAGCCTGCCCAAGTCCCACTGGATAGCTTCCCATCCCTCAGCTTGGTATCAACTTGCTGACAGCACATTCAATCCTACTGTCCATGCCATTGATGAAGATATTAAACAGCACTGGTCACAGTACATACCCCTGAGGGTGCCACTTGTCAGTGGTGTTCATCCAGACATTGAGCCACTGATCACTACATTCTGGATGCAACCATCCAGCCAATTCCTCATCTAACGAACAGTCCACCTAATCAAATTCACACCTCTCCAATTTAGAGCATATGTGCTTATGACAGATGTGTACGTCATCTCCCTATGTCCAAGACAAGGAACTTGTGTCCTGTTTCACTTACATGCACCAGACATAAGCCTTGTTGAAAACTTAGATGTGGCCAAGCATTTCAAAACATTACAGTAGTTCTACATTCACATGACCTTATTTCAAACACCAAATAAGTACCTAAATTTGGAGGCTGATTTTCAGTAGTTACATAAATCAGAAAAGATTGTTTGGATTTCGTGATCTAAAATTGCTCTTGGAGGAGCTTTTCTCTCACTTTTAACTATACTGCTTCTTAAATACTAGAGATATATGTAGAGAAAGTCCTGCAAACAGATGTCCTGTCATGTTTCATGACTGCAAATGTCACTGCGCCTTGTGGCCTTTCATATGGAGGCCAGCTCAGACCAGTTACTGTGTCATTCCTCATTACCTTTATTTTAGACTTTAGGGGTGGTCCAATCCTTCAAATTCATGTAAAAACTCTACTTCCTTTTATCCAGGAATACTCTGGTTTATTATAAATTCCTCCTTCAGCTGTGACCTTGCAGAACAGTCAGCTGTGGCAACAGAAAATAGCTTATGCCTTACTTTGGTATAGGCACTGGTCACCAAGATATGATTACAGCTGCATGACAAGTACAGTTTAGTGTTCAAAAAAAAAAAAAAAAAAAAAAGAAATGGTGCCAGGACAAGATGTGAGGCCAGTGCTCCTCCTATTCATGCAAACCTTACAAAATGCACTTCTTTTTTACCTCTAATTTAACCCTAACTGATACTGAAGACCCTATTAGAGATACCTACAACCAAATCAATTAAAGATGTTTCTCCAAAGACATCTGCTCATCCAGCCTTACTACAATCAGCAAAAGCAGTCATTCCATTCTGTTTTTCTGGAAACTAACCTCAGCAAGTGTCATCATAGGCCTTAATGAAACAGAATGACTGCACAATAATGAGAAGTCACACAGGCTGCAGTTCTTGCTCATCAAATAATGCAGACCTTATCAGATGCTGCAGTTAAAAGCATCAACTATTCTTAAACAAATGCAATATACCCCACAAGAACAGTGACCAGACAGTCTTTTCTGCAGATTAACAGCTCCATCCCCTGCCTGGAGACCTCACAGTATCCTGGAACGAAACTCATCTTCAAACCCCACTGGGATCAAAACTGAATCTATCCACTTTCCTGTTTTCAGTCATAACCAGTGTCTAATAAAGCCCATGTGCATCACGGCTTGTCACTTCTGCAAAATGGAAGGTTCCGTCCTAGGTCTCAGACAATAAATGCAGTTTATGACAACAAAACCCACTGTGTTTATGTTTTGGTGTAGTTGTTTCTAACTTGTCTATGGTCAAGGCTAAAAGCAAGAATGTTTTTGAGGCCAAGACTTGTAAAATGAATGACCAAATGCCTGTTTATTGTTCAGTTCTGAGCATGCACTTGGCTAAGATAGGAGCTAAGACAGAGAAGGACAAACATGTAAAGGTTTATAAAAGGCAAATTATAAGTTACAATTTTGTGGATGTTAGGTTATTTTACATCTCTGCCAACTTTCTCATACTATCAGACAAAATGCTGCTGCAGTATGAGGTATATTTACATACTGTGGAGCTTGACCAGGACATCTGTGGCTCCAGTATACTAGATGGTACAGCTGTAGCTAGAGTTCAGTTCTGTAAATGATTTTGAAAAGATTTTCTACGTCACAGTTTGCATTACAGAAAGAACAATTGAGATGGTATCAGGGTAAATGAAAAAGAACAAACAGGAGGACTCTCCACTCCTTGATTCCTGATTGAAAATCTTTGAAACTTGGTGTTGAATTTCTATTATAGCCCTGAGACTACATCAATAAAAGCAATTCCCTCTGGGATCACACTGAAGATGCTGCTCCAGCTGCTGAGCAAGCAGCTTTGCCTCAGATGGGGTGTTACGCACAGCTGAATTCATTTAGTGTGTCTACATATGAAAGGCTTTATAGAAAGGCTGGATTGGAGAGAAATGCTGGAAACTGTAAGCCCAGAGCTCCGTCTGAAGCATCACTACAAAAGTTAATTAAAGCTTGTACCCGGGGAGATTTCCTAGCTTCATAATTAGCATCGGTGGAAACACTGAAGAATGAAGTTGCTCCACCAAAGAATCCACTTTTTGGGGTTTTCATTCCATTCTCCACAGGAACGCCCCTGGAGCGGCTATTCTCCAACATGGGTAACACCAGCTCCTGCAAAAAGGTCTTAGGCTAGCAAGGTCCATTCCCCCCCACCCCGCCTCCCCGCACTGCCAGGGCCATTGACTACAGCCATGGCGCTCGGTAGGGGGCGCCGCAGCACACCTGCCACCTCCGCCCGCCCATAGCGGCACCTCAGCGCCGACCAGCCCCGCGCGCAGCGGCTCACGCCTCCGCTAACGGC